CCTGTTCCCTCCCGCAGGCGAGATGTTCATCTCAGTGACGGCGTCGGTGGTGGTGGAGCTGGTGCCCGAGGACCTGCGTTCCTCCACGGTGGCTGTGTTCACCTTCATCACGACTAACGTCGGCGGCTCGCTGCAGCTGCTGCTGGGACCGATCGTCTCGGCGTTCCGCGCGTCCGGCGCCTCCTACGAACACGCCTTCCGCAGTGAGTGGCGGAGGGTCGAGGCGGGGCGGGCTGCGGGGGAGCCGGGAGTGGCAGGGGTGGGGTGGTGGGATGTAGACTTAGGTAGGTGTTAGAAGGTGGGAGAAAGGATAATTCAGCACGAGTGCTCTTTGGTTTGGTTTGACACTGGATTCCATCTGCGGCCGAGACTCTTATCCCCAATCTACATTTTCTACAATATAATCTTACCGCATTGCTTTGCATACATGGTTTTGACTGATTCATCCGACCTCCAGCCGACCTTCGAAAATTTTCCGATCCCAAACCCGAGGTCGCTGGGCCTTATCCGTTGGTAACGCAACAAACAATCAACCCTGAAAACGGGAATCAACTCGCAAAAAGGCGTGGGTCAGCACAGCTGTGACTTTCCGTGGCTCAAAATTTCCTTCCCAGAAGAAACCGTTGGCGCAGAGCTACGCGGATAAATGTTATCCAAGGAGGCTTTGTGCCCCAGCGGGTCTGAGGAAGTTGACCCAGTTCTGCAGACTAAACTCCTTTACCGAGGATCGTGTCTCAGGGATTCAGGGACATTCCGTTGTCTCCCGAGTCCCGTATCTCGTGCACAGCTGTTTCCCACTGACCTCCGCCCTGCGCCGTTCCAGTAGGCCTGTACCCTCACTGACGCCCCGCCCTGCGCCGTTCCAGTAGGCCTGTATCCTTACTGACGCGCCGCTGTGAATTCCAGTGGGCCTGTACCTGCTGTTCCCGGGCGGGTTCGCGCTGTGTGCCTGTACCCTCGTCCCTCACTGACGCTCCCCCGCCGTGTGCCGTTCCAGTGGGCCTGTACCTGCTGTTTCCGGGCGGGTTCGCGCTGTGTGCCTGTACCCTCGTCCCTCACTGACGCTCCACCACTGTGCCGTTCTGCAGTGGGCCTGTACCTGCTGTTCCCGGGCGGGTTCGCGCTGTGCGGCCTGCTGTTCGCCGTGGCGGCGCTGTGCGTGCCGCGCCGTCAACCGACCGTCACCCCGCGGGACGCACTGCGCCAGTACCAGAAGAACTCGACCGACACACTGTATGGCGAGGAGCCTCCGGTAGTGGTGCCCAGCGTGGCCTACGGGGACCGGCCCGTGGCCGGGCTGCACTCGGAGGCGTGAGGGGCCCGTGACCTGGCGGGTGTCTCCGTGACCGATGACCTGAGGTCACGGAGAAAGGAGAGAGGGAACGAGAGGAGGGCTCCCGTTGAGTTTCGATCATCCTCGACAATCAGTTATTGTCCTCGGTGGATCCGCCGAATCGGGAATGAACCAGACCAGAGAGACTGCCACGCGGAGATAACAGCTACGTTGAATGTTAGAGATAAGACATAAGCTAGTGACGCTAAATTTTTGATGCTGTTTCTCATTACCTTTAAATATAAGCCGATTCATAACGGTTCCGATACTGAAGCTTGCCGTCAGCATAACCAAACTGACAAGGCAACGGCTTTATGCATCCAAAAGAAATCAAGGACATTATGCATGGGGATAACAACGCCTAATCAATCTTTTCATTTTCACGGCTTTTCGTTACCTGGTTTCGGGTTTCTTGACTATGGGGAAAAGGGGGTTGTTGAGGACTATTGCGGCTTCTGGAAATGCTGCAAAATCATTTTGTTTTGTTGTGTTTAGTGAAAAGAGTTGGTGAAAGCTGTGTAGACATGTGTTCATTGTAGGGCTCTGGAAGCCATTTAGAAAATCATTCCACATAGTAAAACTTGATAGCTGCTGGTTGAAGGGCATAGACTCGTCACAGTTCGTGTTTTCGCTACATGTCTGTAGCCAGTGTACTTTTTGTAACTAATGATACGTTTAGGAAATGTCCTCACACTTGCATCTAGATGTTATCGGCTAGTTTTTGACTGGGTTATTCAATGACACTGACGGATAGGCGGTAAATTGATCGAACCGAACAAAGACAGATTATCTTGCTGCACGTATCATGTATCCTGGTCTGCCCTTCATACATTGACTGCTAACTTTATATTTCTTCGAAAGCGAAGCTCGATTGCGAGCATGCCCAATTATGAGATTTAGGTATCCAATATTACCCCAACAAATATTCCAGAAGTTAATGGCACAAGAACAAGAAAAAACACTTCGGTTCCATCAACTTGCCGCATTTCCGATGAGTATCTTACCCCATGTCAACACCTAGAAATGCCAGAGTAGCGGTGCAGGAAGGACACTGATGACGCCACACCCTTATTATGACGTCATACTGCACCTTCAGTGCCATCCGCTCTGGCGGTCTGTCAGAATCTCAGCAGTATTCTGTGGCGAATGTGATACCGTTGATATGTGGATAGCCGGCGCGGTGGAGCGATGTTCATGCCATTAATGTGAGCGAGAGGAGCGCGGCCGGCGGCGCGGAGGGGCGTTTACGGGGAGCCCCGTGCCGGCACGCGCTGTCGTAATCCCGACCTAGCGGGAGGGCTGTGTGTGAGATGTGTTACTGCGAGTACCCGCTGCACACGACACTAACGACGGTAGTGTGCCGTGTGCACACCTAGGTGTGGCGAGTGAGTTGTGTCTATTTGGATTATTTATTCGTCTATTTACAATACATATTTATGCCAATTCAGCAAAGACTTTCCTAGAACCAGAAAAAACATGTCAGTGTTGATTCCATGGCCCAATCTTATAAACGCCGTGAAATGGATATGGCAGCACTCTAAGGCTGGATATATAGTACGCAATCTTATAAAACTCTGTGAAATCGAAAACACGGCACGCTCTTTACGGTATTGGTAGCCGCTGGTTTTGGGGATACCGTAAACTGATTTTAACCGTGAGCAGCTGTGCACATCTCAAAACACCGACAATCATCAGCTGTTTGCGGTTTCAGCGGCGTCCATTTCACGCCAGAATTTGTGGCGTACTTTGACGAGCTTCTCAGACAGTTTAATTGATTTAAGATAAATTCCATGTTTTTATGATACAAGTATGCAATATTTTACATTATGATACTTCTAAGATTAAAACAACCTCCACATATTAACTCATGATTTACTATAATGATGCTTAATTATACAGACAACGATCAATTTCAAAATATGTATTTCCAGGAACTAAATGCACACTAAAACACATAAAAACGAGTGTTCATCGTTATATGGCTTTATTTTTCAAATAAAAAGGGGATTTTTAAGAGGATTTTAGCATTAGTAACCGTCTTAGATTTTCGGCAGCCACTGCATTATAGAATCGGTATGGGTCTTTAGCCTATTCTCACGTCTCACGTATGACACAAATAACGGGCACTTCATGGCTTCTGATTAGATATTTAAATTAATGATGATATACCTTAGTTTGTCAAAAGAATTATAAATGCCTACTCACTATTCGTATTTCCTCACTTTCTGTTTGGCACAGTCACTGATCAGTGATCAATCTGTTGTTTCTCTTCCTGCATCTCGATCTGACTTCTGAACCAAGTATTTTTCTTGATATAGCTTTGATATGTAGACTGGGTGCTTCAATCCTTTGATGAATTGCTTTTTAGCTTTAGGCTAGGTAATAGGTACCTATGCTTGAATAAGAAGGAAAATAAGCTGTAACTTGACCTAATTCAGTTCATGTACGTAATCTTCAAATTTTAGTAGCTTTATCTTCATGAAAACAAGAAGGAAAATAAGCTATATCTTGAATTGATCCAGGTAATGCACGTATCCTGATGCTCAAATTGTAGGAGCTTCATTGTCAACGGCATTACTTCAATTACTGAAAGAGTAGCCGAGCTATAATTAAATGATTATTTAAATAATTCTTTAACAAATTTATTGCAATGCCTTAACAGCAAATAAATGCAAATGATAAGTTGAAGAAACACTTTATTCACTCGATTTTCTGAGCGCGAGAATGCCCTCGCTGAAATTTATTTGGTCGGCAATCCACTTTTCAGGAGAATTCTTCAAGCATGTTAGTGTTTTCCATACTTTGCTATCACGTTTTCCATAAATAATTTGTTTATTACACATATGTGTGTCTCTAAAAGAAATAAATGCCCAATAAAAATTAAAACACATCATTTTTGCTGTTCGCAAACAGTGCGCATAATTTCCAATAACGACGGCGACAAGACATTGACCAATCACGTTGCGTGTTTCCTGCTGGCGTTGATTTGTACTGTGGGCAAAATGGCGTGAATAGAATTACCATACTATTCTCTTTATAAGATTGCGTGAATAGGGTGCCGTAAATAGAGTGGGGTGGAATGATAGTACGCCATTTGGTAGCACAACCTTTATAAGATTGGGCCCATGAGCCGAATCCCCACGTTATTCGCACTAATACACAGGAAATCCCATGACTCTTATTAAGAGTGAAGGAATGTTCCCATGCATCGCAGTAAAAAAAATATCCACACCAAAGAAGACCAAACTGTCCCAGCTTCGGTCTAAACGTTACTGATATGAAAATTTGGCATTTGCATATTCTATAAACGCGTTCCCCTTGTCTACTTTGTGTGTGTGACAATGATAGGCAAAACAGGTCCTTGAAGTGAAACGGACGTGCACATTACAGAAGAACTTGGTCAAGGAAACGTGTCTCAACGTTTACCAGGTAATCAGTTTATAGAGATTTGTTGCCTACCACTCATTCGATATGGTGTATTCGTTCGGAGGAAGCGTAAAACCGTGTTAACTGTAAAACACTCATATGTTTTGACGGATGGAGTGGATACACCAACGTTATAAAATCCATTTACAATCCACAGAATACCATTGTCAGCAGCCTGCCGATCAGATATATCACATCGTTTACTTCGTCAGCAGAATAATCAAACAGAAGCAAAGAAGGGTCTGTGTAGGTACATTTTATATCAAAATCAAATGCATTTACATACCGTCAGTTACCCAAAGAACGATGGCAAGTCACTGTGAGTTCAATCACATTTTACAATGGAATCAAAGTCTACAAAACACTTTAAAAAGTCGTGCGGTAGTGATGGCAGTGAAAACACTTCACTTATAATTGATGGCGATGTATGAGCAGGACCCAAACTACGTAACAAACAACTCGGCGGGACGCGGGTACGTACTCAAATGGCGATATAGACTTGGCAACGTAAATGCTGTGAGGAGCATCATTGACCAATGACCGGCGTCATGTTCACGCAAAAGGACTAACAAAAGTTACAACCAAATAGAATGGCGCCCATTTGTCCCCGATACAAAGTTACGCCAAATGCACAGCACGAAACAATAACTCGTTTAACACTTCAGTTATCAGGTACCACTAGCTTTTCAACAAGCTCGCTACATAACACTCACCACTGGCGCCGCCTTCCGTCCATTCTCCGAACCACAGCCTGCTCTGTTCACCAGTAGAAGGCGGCCTTTTCGCGGAGTGTGCGGACGCCGTGTGTGCGCCACTCGGCCGGCCGGATCCACAGCTCGCCGGCAGACTCCATACAGGACATGATGCAGGCGCCCTTCCAGCCGACCACCTCTGGGTCCTGCTCACGCGGCTCAGTCACCACCTCCATGTGCTCTGAGGGGGGGGGGGGGGCAGGAGCTCCGTCACCATCTGAGGTCGCATATGAATCGGCCACCGCACCCTGACCAAATCTGAGCAAGGACGAAAATTGGCCATTCACCAGGTCGGGACTGGTAGGGAATCTGTCCAACTCACCGGGTCGGAACTGGTAGGCAATCTGGACAGTCACCGGGTCGGAACTGGTAGGCAATCTGTCTACTCACCGGGTCGGAACTGGTAGGGAATCTGGCCACTCACCGGGTCTAAACTGGTAGGGAATCTGGCCACTCACCGGGCCTGAACTCGTAGGGTTTACCTGGCCACTCACCGGGTCGGAACTGGTAGGGAATCTGGCCACTAACCGAGTCGGAACTGGTAGGGAATCTGTCCACTCACCAGGTCGGAACTGGCAGGCAATCTGTCCACTCACCTGGTCTGAACTGGTAGGGTATCTGCAGGGAGAGCCTGCTGCGGAGCCAGGTGGCGAAGCCGGTGAACTTGGCGCCGCCGCCCACCACGATCACGCACGAGTAGAACTTGCGCTTCAGCTCGTCACTGCCTGTGGGTGACACAGGACAGAGGGCGCTGGTGAGGGCGGGATACGGGCCGGGATAGAGCCCATCTAGCAAATGCGGTCACCACAGGTAGCTCTGAGCGCAGTGACAGGATGCAATACCCAACATACTGTAAATTAAACAGCACCTCAGGTACAGCTGTACTCGTATCTCAGCGTAAAGATTGACAGCAGTCCCCTATAAACAAACGAGAACTCATAAAATGAAGCCCCTAAACCAATCCCCTGAGCAAGTAAACTCCTCAGTACATCCACCGCTATTGACACATCTTTCAAACTGCATGAAGATCTTACCACACTGATCCACGCTGTGCAGAATAGCCTGATCCAGGCTGAGCAGCTTGTCTATCTTGATCTGGCCCTTGCTGTCCTGTGATTGGCTGGGCTCTAAGGCATCGACCTCATCGTCGAGCTGTGATTGGTCCACCGACTCGCTTGCGGTGTCAGCCGTCTCCCGCTTTCTCTGTAATATAGGCGAGGGGCACGGTCAAACCATGACAGCAAGGCAGTTGGCTATAAAGATCATACACGCAGAGCCTCATAACAAAGCAAACAATGTCATCCAGAAAACACGACAAAGCAAATCAAATACCACTTATATCTTTTATTAATATCTGCATGAACTGGATCAATGACATCACTCAAGGGAACGTAAACTAAAAACATCGATTCGGACAAAGCCGACAAAATTATGGTATCCACCACATATTTATTCTCATTGAAGTTACTTGCACAAGGCACACTAGCACCCTATCAGAAACCCAGCACACCAATCCACACCATCCACCACTGTCGACCCCCTCCCCGGCAGCCACTCACCCCGGTCTCCCTGAGGTAGCCGGTGTCGAGCGGGTCATCCGAATCGCCCCGGTACGGGTCGTACAGCCACGACTGCTTCGGGCCGGTCAGCTGGAACAGCGACGCGTTGAAGTAGCTGTAGAACAAGGCGTCAGAGGGTCACAGGTCACCAAAGGTCGGGGCTGAGCCGGTAGAGGTCACGTCAGGTCAGAAATAGGAGCGCAGCTCGCTGTTGAAGGATCTCACCAGAGGATGGGAGACCACATGCAACATGGTGGACAGCGGACACTAGATGAGGAAGTGGAAGCGTGTTTTAGAATACAAAGTGAGTCAACGAATGGATGATGCTGCACACTGTAAGGTGCTCTGTGTAATTTTGAAATGATTCTTTGAATGTTTTCCCCATGTTAAAATGACACAGGCATTTACGTCTCACAACCAATCACGTCCTAACGTCGTTTATATAGTTCGACGGAGCAGAAATACGGCCGTCACCCCCGTCCACTGGTAAATGTCTCACTTCCCACGTACCTGAGCGGTGCAATGATGCACTCGTCCCCCAACTGCAGCGTGTACTGCAGGGACGGGTGGTGCGGCTTACTAACACGGAACGTGTGCTCCTGAGGGCCGCACGTGTCCTGAGGAAGTGGCAGGAGACACGGTTATCGTACAGCTGAACAAGTGATTCTGCGCGCGGCACGGGTCCTGAGAGGGTGCATAGGGGGAGACACGGTCATTTTACAGCGACGGCGGCCGTGTTCTTCAGGTGGCGCGAAATTGAATGGGATTCTGGCTCATGACACCAAGGATGTCATCATAAAGGAAGAACTCATGTGAGAATGATGTTGAGAAAATGAATGATTTTTATTTTCTATGAGGATGACGTTATATCATGATTTCCAGTCATACCACTATGACAATTATGTACCAGATATCTGGTAGCATACACCGGAGCAGCGTTTTCGGTCCACTGTCAGACGTTCTTACCAGGTCCACATGGCAGTAAGTCTCCTTCAGTTTGTGGAGCAGCAGCGCATCCAGCCGAGAGGCCGGGGAACACTGCTTGTACGGGAACGCGCTGCGGCGCAGCAGCCAGTAAAACACCTGCGTGACGTCACTGCCACCGTAGTCCAGGTGAATCTGTCGGTGTGAGATCAGCTGGTGACGTCATAATGATGTAGGAGACCAGTCAGAACAGGGCAACAGAAATAAACACAAACCAGTACAGACCGACAATAGCAGTGGTTTCAGGCGCCGATGTCATACGCTATGAGACAAGTGGGCGTAAATGAGACTGAAAACACCATTAGATCACCCACAGATATCTGGGGGCTGTCATTAGGGAATTGTTAACGCCTGGATAACTTAACAAAACAAAGCATGTGTAATTACTCTATTTAGAACGCAACTGAAAACCAAGTCATGATAGATAACATGGTTTCAGCTCTAAGCTTGAATCAAATGCGTGCGATGGGCAGCTCCACAGTTCATATGTTAATAAGCTACAGCCAGCCCAAAGTCATACATTGGTCGAATACGACACCCAGGTTTCGCACCATGAGAGAACCGGAGACAATTGCGCCCATGAATTTGATAGTAATGTTTGGTACCTGTCGAAGATTTTGCCGAGTGCCGAGAGCTATGAGTTGTGTTTTCTTTGCGTTAATTTTCATGCCATTTTTGCCAAACCAGTGAGCAAGTTGCGAAAGATTTCGCTCCAAAGAGCCAGTCAGGGCACCAATGTCTCCGGGCCTCCCACTCACGAGAACCTGAGTGTCGTCCGCGTACTGCACTATGCACGCGTCATCAGCATACAGCGGCAAGTCGTTGGCGTAGATGCTGTATAACAGCGGACCGAGCGCTGAACCCTGGTAGGTTCCGATCGGGTTCGGCAGAGGCGTCGACAGATCACATGAGCCTCGCTGGCTCCCTGTTACTACTTGCTGGTAGTGGTCGGCCAGGTAACTCTTAAACCAGCGAGTGTCTACGTTGTACAGCTCCAATTTTCTCAGTAGCCCATCATGAGGTACAACATCAAAGCACTTTGACAGATCTAAAAGGCACATAAGAGTGATCTCTTTCCGGTCCATGGCCTCAAACTGCGTGTTTTTTTCAAAACACTCAAACTAGTTAACAATAACTTATTTGGTGATGAGACGCACCACAGATTAAACTCGTTAACCCTCGCCGGCCGAGAGGGGGGGGGGAGGGGGGCGGGTGCCGCCCCCCCCCCATAGGGTTTTTTCGCGATAGCTCCGAACACGCTGGCGATAGAGAGCTGAAACTTGGCATACCTGACCTTTGATCCAAGCCGCATCTTTTGACACCAACCGCATTTTTGGGTCAGGTCAGGTCACTGACCTATGACGTCATAAGTGAACCTCTGCACGGTCTTCAGATGTCGCAACTTCGCAACGCCCTCACTGCCAGAGGAGATGTCACAGGGAAATGAAACTTGCAGGATCTAGTATCCATTATGAGTCTCACAACTTGTATATCTCGGATTTTTCCTAAAGGTCATATGAGGTCAGGTCATTTTCGTGACCTCACCATTATAAGTCAATGGGGAAAAATGAAAACTGGTATTCTGGCGCCGGGAACGATCTCCAACTATCTCAAGCACACAGAATCGTGATTTGATGCATTCCTTGCAAGGTTGGGTGCGTCACTTTTGCAATGTTGACCTTCCGTGACGTCATTTATGACGTCATCAAGGTCATATTAGTTTTTCGTCAATAACTCCCGATCAAATTGAGCTAGCGAGTCGAGAAAGCCACCAATGGACTCAGGAAGACCTGCCGAATCGAATGATATGCGACATGACCTCTTTCGACCAACTTCGTGACCTGGGGGTGCTGACCTGACCTTGACCTGAGGTCAACACCCTAAGTTGACCTGACCCGAACAAAAAGTATATCATTCGACGCGCCTGAGCGAGGCGAACACGATGCTGCCAAAATCGCGGCTCTGCGGCCGTTTTTTGCGAAGTTATTCACCAAAAACTGAACCGTACCCTGGGGCACTTGACCTGACCTCAGAGGTCACCGGTTGACCTAGGACCTTAATTTGTTTGTTTATTGGGGCTTTAGGGCGCGACGACAGCAAAGGTCATTTTGCGCCCATAACGTCGCACTAGTAAAACAAGTGTTTCAAAAGAAGAGACCTTCTAGATACCAAGACTAGAAGGTAAAAGACTTGATAAAAACGACAAGGTATGATAGAACAACGCAAGAGCGTCATAACAGTCAACTGACTAGACAAGTAGACTAGAGAGGATTTGGGTCAGGTCGAGTAAATCACTTGGAAGTTGACCGAACGGATAAAGGAGAAAATATTGCCGGATAAAACCCAGGGTGACTCATCACCCAGTAGGTGGCGGATAGTGGTACCAGGAGCAATGTAGCCAAGGTTGCGTGTCCGGTTCCGTTCAAAGAGTGGGCAAGATAAAAGAACGTGAGCGACGGTTAGAGGCACGGAACATGTGTTGCACAAAGGCTGCTCACCTCCTGAAAGGAGATAGCTGTGCGTCGCGTATGTGTGGCCAATACGGAGTCTGCACAGGACCACTTCCTGGAAACGATTGCCTTGCAGGCAAGACTGCCAAGGCTCTAGAGTTGGCTTCAACTCTCTCAGCTTGTTCCTTACACACAAATCCCACTCTGCCTGCCACTTTGAAAGCATGAAGGGTCGCACCAGCGGATAAAAATCCCGGGCAGGCAAAGGCAAGCGCCGAGTGCAGGGTGCTGCGGCGGCGCGTCTGACAGCAGCATCAGCAAGCTCATTGCCTTCAATGCCGACGTGACTGGGAATCCAGCAGAAACGGACTGATTTTCCAGATTGCTCCACCGACGTAAGCCGAGTTAAAATGTCCCGCACGATGGGGTCAACCGAGTTAAAAGTACGTAAGGCCAATAAGCTGCTAAGAGAATCAGATAAAATCAAGTAAAAGGGACTGCTAGAAACCTCGATGAAACACAAAGCCTTCTCTATAGCGACTAGCTCTGAAGAAAACACCGAGGCGGAAGGTGGCAGAGAAAACGAGCGGGTGTCACGACCAGCGACAAAAGAGCAGCCCGCTCCCTCGGTTGTCTTCGAGCCGTCTGTATAAACCGTGATAAAACCATCATAAGCGGCAATGTGCTCTAGGGCTCTGGCTCGCGCCTCAGCAGGCAACAAGTTGTCCTTCTTAACAGTCGATAGCGAGAGGTCTACTTGCGGATTGGCGTTTTTCCAGGGTGGAGGGGGCGTGTCCCAGGTGCGCCGAACGCCACGCAAGGATATGTTAGCAGCTGAAAAAAGACCTCCCATGCGTACTCCAAACGACGGTCGTACCCTCCCGTCAGATCGAGAAGCGTTACGTGACAAGACGTACGGGTACGTCGGATGCGTTGGGTATTGGCGAAGTTTCAAAGTGTAACGCATCCCCAGCATCTGGCGACGAAGAGCTAGAGGTGGCTCATTCGTTTCAGCCAGAAGGCTGCTCTTTGGAGAAGTGCGGAAAGCCCCGGTGGCAACGCGGAGCGCAGCGTGATGTACTGCGTCCAGGGACTTCTTGCTGGACTCACTGGCGGAATCGTAAACAAAACACGCATAGTCCAGCTTCGATCGGATGATCGACCGGTACAAGAGGAGTAGAGTTTTGCGATCCGCACCGTATGATGTGCGGGCAACACACTTTAAAACGTTCAGGGATTTAACCCGCGCACCGACGGGGGTCTGCGCCAACTTAGTACCGACGGGGGGGGGGGCGGATGACCGCCCCCCCTGAGATCTCGAGAACGAAGCGAGATAGCGACAAGCGGTAAACGGCATCGGATACGCACGGTCAAGATCTACAATTTTTACTAAGGTCATTTTCAGGTCAGGTCAAAGATGACGTCACAGGGGTCGAAAAAGTCAAAATGGCGGCGCTAAATATGGAGAGAGTTTTTCTCGAATAACTTTCGAATTAGACAAGATAGGAACAAACTAAGGGCATCATCGTGATCCTCTCGTCAATCCGCATCGAATGATATATATGTTGACCTCGAAAGGTCAAGGTCAAAGGTTGACCTCAGGTCACGTGACCTCGAGGTCATCATGTATATCATTCGATGCGTCTTGACGAGCTGAACACAATGAGACCATCCACGCGTCTGTATCTTGTTCCTGTACGGAGTTATTGGCCAAAAACCTTTGGTGACCTTTGATGACGTCACATGACCTCACAGCTGCCCAACAGCAAAACAGACCTCAAGGTAGTGAAGGTTGATCGTATATGAAGTCATGTATGGTATATGGGGCCATTCCGACCCGTTTTAGTGGTAAAAACAGGGAGTTGATTTTTCCCCCATTGACTTATAATGGGGAGGTCGCGAAATTGACCTGACCTTAGGTCACCGATATCAAAATTCCGAGATATACAAATTGTAGCTACTAATGACCTAATAACATCCTGCGACTTTCAAAGGCCTCCGACATCTACTGTAGCTCTGGCACGGTGACAAAGTTGCAAAAAAGTGACTTGAGGTTGGGTCATTCAAAGTGACCTGGTGACCTGACCTTGAAAGGTAGGAGGTTCAAACTTGCACACCATGTGTAAAATTGATAAGGGAATAGTCATACCAAATTTCGCGGCGCTACGCGCCGCGGTTTTCCCGCTATTCGCGAAAAACCTCAGGGGGGGGGGCGGATATCCGCCCCCCCCCGTCGGTGCGCGGGTTAAAACATCGTTCCCGAAGCGTTCTAAAATGCTCTCTAAACGTCAAACGTCCGTCAAACGTCACACCAAGAAACTTCGCCACCGGCTGCGTGGGGATCGTCTGTCCGTACAGACGGATACCCAATGTAGGGTCGGCGCAGCGGCGGCGACAGAAATGCATGGCAACAGTCTTCCTTGTTGAAAAGCGGAGACCATTGTCGCGGCTCCATCTCTCAAGCCTTCTGACTGCAAGCTGCAGTTGTCTGGCCATGTGCCGAGCGCTGGAAGCGGCGAACCAGATGGCGAAATCGTCAACAAAAAGCGATCTGCCGATAGAGACCGGGAGATCATCAGCGATATCGTTAATCGCCACTGCGAATAACGCCACGCTGAGCACCCCTCCCTGAGGGACTCCATTGTCTTGGATAAAACTGCTAGACAACTGGTTACCGACTCGGAC